TAGTTTATTTTTAATCTAAACTAGCTAATTATTAAAAATAATATAATTTCTAATAAAGAGAATTAGATCTAAAAGCTTAGTAATTCTAGTATTTCTAAAAGAAATATAAGATATTAGAAATCCTAAATAGAAATAAATAAGAAATAATTTGAAGTTTTTTAGAAAGAAGTTTAAAATAGCTAGAATTATAGAAATAATAGAAATAAATAAAATAGAAATAGCTAGAGCTACTATAAGCTAATTTATTATAGCTATATAATATTTAATATTTTTTTCGAGTTTTATATTCTAGAACTTAATATTTTTAAAAAGCCCTTAATATTTTTATAATTTATTTTATATAAAATAGTCTTTTTAATATTTTTCTAATAGCTAATAATAATTGAATTAATATCTAAAAATAAATAATTAGTTTCCTTAACCTATTTATATAATTTTTCGGTAATAATAAGCTAATTAATATATAAGAGCTTTTTAATAAAAAAAGAAGCCTTTTTTTTAATAAATTTATCTAAAAAAAACTTCTAGAAATATTAATAAAAAATTCGATTTAAAAAAAGCTATTAATAAAATAATTTAAACTAATAGAAGCCTTAAAAGAAATTAATATTATTTCGGATTATATAATATTTTAGGATATTAATTTATTATATTTTCCTTAATAGTTTTATTATTAGTATATATATAGGGCCTATAAAATTATAAAATAAGGCTTAAGAATAATAGTTAGATTATTAGCTTATAAGTATTTATTATTCTAGGATTTAATTAAAAAGTAGCTTTTATATAAAGTTCTTTAATTTTCGGGGTTTTAAAAAAGGTTTCTAATAAATTACTAATATATATTTATAAAAATATAAATATCTAATTCTTTTAAGAATTTTAAAACTTTTTATTTTTATTATTCTAAAATCTGTTATTTATATTTCTAAGATTCTATTATTTTAATAATACTTATATTTCTAAAAGTTTTAAATTAGTTTATTTGAAATTATTTATAGAATTAAAAGAAATAAGCTTTAAATACTATTATAAATATAATATTTAGAACTTAAAAAGTAAAATAAAAGGGTTTTTTATAAAAATAATTTAAAGCTAAAAACGAAAAAACTAGAATATAAGAAATTATAAAAAAAAATATATATTTTATAATATATTAGTTCTAAAAAGGCTTAGTTTTGTTTTTTTATTTTTTTAAAATATCTTTAATATATTTCAAATATATTCTTTAATAAAATAGCTATATTATATATATCTAAAAGATATTTAATAAATTATAATAAATATTAAATTCAAAATAAAGAATTAATATAATATAATATTATTATAAGCTATTTAAAATAGCTATAAGAGTATTATATAATTATTATTTAAAAAAATATTAATCTCGAAATAAAGAATTAATATATTATAATATTATTATAGATTATTTAAAATAGCTATAAGAGTATTATATAGCTATTATTTAAAAAGAATATTAATCTTAAAGTAAAGAATAAAGGTAATATAATAATATTATTATAGGCTCTTTATAATAAATATAATAATATTATATAATAATTATTTAAGAAAGATATTAATATAAACTTAAAAAATAAATATTATTAAATACTATTATTATATACTATTTCAAATAAATATAAGGCTATTATATAGCTATTATTTAAAAAATACTAATATTAAGGCTAAGGCTAATAATAATTATATATTATTATTATATATTATTATAAATAAATAAAAAACTATTATCTAGTTTTTATTTAAGAAAAGTATTAAAATTAAGCTAAAGAATAATAAGTACTAAATACTACTATTAAAGGCTATTAAAAAAGAATATAAAGCTATTATTAAGCTATTATATAAAATAAATAAGATTAATATTAATATAAAAAATAAATATAATTAAATACTATTATTAAGAACTATTATAAATAAGTATATTAATTAATTATTTACTTTTTTACTATATATATTTTTATAACTTTAATAAAGAAAGACTTAGGGAAATTAAAGTTTATAATTTCAAATACTAATAAGTAATTTCTAAGTCTTTTATTTATAATATTCTAGTTACTTTTACTTTTATTCTTCTAATTATATATTTATATACTATTAATACTTACTTTATTATATTCTTATATATAATTTCGAGAATAATTAATTTAAAATTCTTTAGATAATTCGAGTATTAATAATTTATAATAAATAGTTTAAGAATTCGAATTAAAGTTATAAATATTAGTTAAATTTTTAATTAGCTCGAAACTTAATAATATTTTAATTATTATAATATTATCCCGAAATTAATTTTATATATTTTTTTTTAATAATATTTTTTTTAGAATTCAGATATAAAATATATAATATAATACTAGATATTTATTAGAAAATATAATATCTGGAATTTTAGATATATAATCTATAATAATATAATTAAAATAAAGGAAAGTATTACTTGTAAATATTACTATTTTATAAGCTTTAATTTTTCCTTAAATTTAATAAAAGATATTTTTTAAATAAGTATCCTAAGATAATAATTTTGTTTTAAATAATTATATAATTTAGTTAATAGTTAAAAGAAAGCTAAAAAAATATTTTCTCTTCTATTTAATATCTATTTCTTTAATATAAATAAAGTAATAAATATACTATATTTTTTATATAAATAGTCTAACGAGTTTTTACCTATAATATTTATTTAATTATACTAAATCCGGCTAAAGAACTTCTTTAGAGAGCTTTACTAGGAATTCTTATTATCTTGCAAATATATTACTCTAGCGATTTCTTGTTACCTAGAAGCTCCCGGTTCTTTAAGAAGAACTTAACTAATATTAGAGTAATAAGCTCTTAGAGAGTCTAGCCTTGCGTGAACTATTTACTTGACCGAAATACTAGTTCCCAAGTATACTTAGTAAACGAATTACTTGCTTTCCGCTTCTTTGTTAACATATCTAGGAGATAGATATAGTATTTGACCGTATTCTAATATTAGCGAAATATAGAGTTTATAGCCTCTGCAAGCTCAGCACTACTCGATTTGTTAATGCAACACGTATTGACCCAGAAGTATTGCAAGCCATTAAGTCTGGCCTGTTCTCCGCAGAATTGGATCTTGTCAAAACCCGCCTTGCTCGTCCCATTCCCTTCCATTATATCCTTGAAGGTAACCTCCTCCAGTCCCCATGTATGTGAGAGTATAGCATACGGAGGAATATCGTCGACAAATTGCGTTAGGCTGAACTCCCTATCGTTATTGTATTCTAGTAGACGCATGATTTAGATAGGACCCGAGAGAGTACTTGAATAAAAGAATGTCGGTTAAATACTTGTCATAGACTAGGTATATATGTCGTTATTGAGTTAGGAGTAAAGGTTAGATAGAGGTTTGGTACTCGTATGGCTAAGCTAAACGAGAGCCTCGCGGCTTTGTAACGTAGTGTAACATTACTACAAGCGCGCCAGCCCATCCAATCGCAGCCAGCAACTGCATAGGGTCGTGGCCGGCTGGACCATTCGAGTGAGTCTCATGTACAGTTGAGCCATGAATCAGTTTCCTTCTGAGGTGCATCGTGTGGTAAATTTAGGAACCGTACGACAATATATGGGGCACGCGGCTGCTCAAACGCAAAAGTGGAGGACATACTCAAGGAGCCAAAAATATGGCTATAGTTGCCCGATTTGGTGGTATTGGCAAACTGGTCAGCAAAGCTAGTGGCACGTGCTGTGTGCCAAGCCAAATCAGCGCCAAATCAGTGTAACTTAGCTATACCTCGTTATCGGCGCTCGTTCGATACAGGAATACAATATACTTAATGTCCCAAACATTTGATAGTAGTAGGGAAGACAAGCCTCGGACATGTGCTAACGTACATCTACCCTCTTATCTATGTGGTAACACGTACTTTGAAGCTAACGAGCATTAGATGATGCAGGAAGCAGCAATGTCAAGGTGTCGAAAAGTATAGTACTGGTGAAAGGATATCGATATTGGAAATCAGAGGTGCAGGCTCTGTACTCACCTTGCAACGAGTGTATTTCATTGACATTGCTAATACGATAAGATTACCGAATTTCCTTTATTGGCCCCTTTCTCGACAGCAAAACAATACAATAGCGGCGTATTGCCGACCTTGTCCCTTGCCTCGATGCTCGTCGTTTAGGCAAATTCCACTTTCGAACTCGTCAAGTGAGAGGTATATAACGCAAGTCTCTGTAATTTTGGTCTCCGCATTCGGGAACCAATAGCTTTGAGTACGCCGCTTCCCTCGACCGTACCTGCTCCCGCATGGGGACTGGCCAACAGAAGGACAAGATTCCTTCAGACGTTCATCCCAGCGGATGCAAAGGGACAGGTAGGCACATAGAGCTTGACGGCATTGCTCTTGATACCCAGCCTCACGTTTGCTTCCGGGGCCGGCCTCGCCGTCTCTTCTGCTACTGGCCACCCGAGATATCGGCTTCACCAACACCCGCTCGGATGGTATAGTAGTGCGTCTGGATCGTCCCTGGGGTCCGGTGGGAGAGCTCTTTATAGATCTCTTCCCACGAGCAGCCATCCTCGTCCCTTATCTTGAGCACCGTCGCATCCTCTTCTGTTGTCCATTTAACATGCTTCCGCTTCTTCTTAGGCTGCAACGGTGCTTGATATATCTTGGAATGTGCAGCAGTGTTGTGATGGGTCGGAACCTTTGCTGGCGCCTCCTTGCTAGAACAGGTGTCCAATGCTTTGGGATCAATCGGCAAGTGAAGTTGTTCCGAGATCAATGGCGGTTTGAACTCAAGATTATACGTCACATCATCCCCGATCCTGATGCGCTTGAGGAAGCCTTGAAAGGGCCATTCATGATACTCAGTAACTGGTGCCGTCTCTGATGCCGCAGACGGACTCCGAGAAGTTCGCGAGGCATGGTGGTAGCTCTTATCGACGAAGGTCGACGAACATCCGTGATCAGCCTGGGGCTGCGCGTCGTCAATCTCAGGTGTAGTGGTCGATAGCAGCGTCTTTGCGGCCGCTTGGCTGAGAATGCTCTCATATGGTAGTTCCATCCCGTCTCAGAGCTAAACAGTTAGCACTATCGCTTGGCCTTTTGTGTGAGCATATGTTGTAAATGCTTCAATTTTAAATTCCTTGTATTCTAAATTCCTTCTATCTTCAATACCAGACTGACCCGACATCTCAGTATGGAGCTAGCGTCTAGATAGAAAAGAAACCATGAAAACCAAAGCATACGTAGTAAAGAGGTAAAATTCTTGACGAATCGTGCCATTAGGTGTGAGGTAAGCTTGAGCTTTTGCAAGATAAGCCGCGCCAATAGCGAGAGCTATTGAATTCGTCACAGGGTAAAAAGGAATCCGTCCGGGCAAACTGTTAACAACCAAAACGACGAACCCAACCACAAATGCAGAAAGGCCCTTGATAAGCTGTGTCACACCATATGAGAGACGTGGTAGGACTAATCTTGTATAGCCCCAGTCGCGGAGAGTCTTGCACATGTCCCCCAGTAATGTTGACAGATTTGGTTGCTCTGTTGGTGTGCTTGCCAGTGTCACGACAAACATGACTGTTCCCATCACCTTTTTCCGTTGAGTGTTGACAGCGACCTTGCAACCCGCCACCGTAATGCTTGGTGCCCATGCAAGTCGACAAAGATATTCGAAGTTGTGCAAGTTTGATTTTTCTGTTCTAGGAGCGCTAGCGACTCGACACCAGACTGTTCGATCTAGGGTCCAGGTAGAATGGCGCAACAAACGCCATACTCTTATGAACCACAACTGTCTCCAGGCGGTCTCCGGCAAAAAGTCCAGTCTGACAATGAAGCCACGTTCCTCACGAGACTCCGAATAATGGAAGAACGCCGTTTGCGGCTTATCATATTCATATAACTCGTCCAACTCGTCCCGCTCATGTACAACGGTGTTGTACCCGTAGGAAAAATATTCCAAGGATGTATCGATGTACGGAGAGCAGCAAAACAGGTTTTCGTGGGCTTGAATCAAAGCGGAATAAGAGCGGAAAGTGCCTGCCCTTGCCTGTCTGAACCGGACACGAAATTGGAGGCTATTCCAGCCAAGGCTATCATTGGATTTGTTCCCCGTTCTTATGTGAACAGTGCGGAATTTGGCACTTGCTTGGCGAATTTCTGGAAATAGGACCGCCTGGCGATCTGGAGATCTCTTCAGATTGCCATTTTCCACACCACTGACTTCGGGCTCTAACGGAATGGCGATAAGGTTTAGGAAATCGTGAGTTAGACGACATTTGAGGAGACCAAAAGTTTCTCGTTTGCTGGTGATGAGTGGGACTTCAATCCAAAGTCTCGTATTGGTCAACTCAAACTCTTTTTGCGACTTCCAAGGGTCGCATGGAATAATATCTCCGCATTCTGCAAAATCTGCTGGCGATTTCGCGAGAAGATTGATTTCGTTTGCAGTACGGTTCAGGCCTGATGGCAGACCAAAGCCCCACGCGAAAATGGATTGGTCATCACTCTGCTTGATGACTTCTTCTTGGAGTCGTTGGAACGCTTTTTCGCCTTCACCGTAGACAAGGGGCATATTGACACCGAAGATCCCTAGAAGACAATAGGCAATATCTTCCTTCCTTTTGGTGGTCCTTCTTGCCGCCCAAGACATTCTCTGGGCAATGCTGGCGCTGGAGATGGGGTCCCCTGTTAGGATTTCGTGCTTAATGCCAGTGACATCCTCGATAACACCACATAGATCCGTCAGCTCTCCGATAAAGCCCCATGATTCGGCAAAGAATTTCAAGCTCGAGGGAGCAAGTAACTCTTGTAAGGTCCAGCCCCTCGTGAACCATCTACTCTTCCGGAATGAGGAATCAGGATCCTCCGGTCTTTCTTCAGCTTGCACATCCACTAGATATGCATAGCACACCTGTGACTCTCTGTACCAGCGAAACATGGAGTTGATGGCTTCGGACAACTCAACACTGCTCCTTTTGTCAATACAACATGTATCGACCCATACCCATTTCAAATTGTCTCGCAAAGCTTGCTCGCAGCATCCCTGGATCTTTTTGAATCCACTTCTGCCGTCAAACAGAGAAGAGAAGTGGTTGGGATTCTGGGAAAACTGTTGAATCTCTTCAAAGGATATCTCGTCTGAGTCGTCTGAGGCCCACGTATGAGACAGTGTGGCATAATGTGGGACCGTCTCGTCGGAGAATTTTGAGATGCGTTTGCTTTCTGCATTTAGGAGGTATACCATCCTGGACAGGAAGGCGGGCGGGGAGGAATGAAGAGTCCACACACGACAGAGCAGTTGTTGAGTTCCAGGGGTTTGATGCTCCTTCTTCGTACGTGGCGCCGTGATGGTTTTCGTTACGGCCGCGGGTGTAGCTGCGTTGACTGCAGAGTCTATGTGCTAGTGAGGGAGTTGGACGGGAGGGATATGGTGGGGAGAAGCCGGTAAATGTGTCGGTCAACGTGGAGGTTCTGGTTGGAAAGGGCCACTCGTTAGCATAAAGATCAACAGCTGGATGGCCCATTTGTCACCGTGTATTTGGAATTATTCACTCTTGATTATTTTGATAACATGGACGATGTCTGTCGGCGTGCCTTAGGTGACAAACTCGGTGTGTAAGGATGGATAGCCAAGTTCGGTATGTCGCATTCAAATCACAATGTTCAAGGCGATGATATAGAGACCAGAGCAAACCTTGATCCAAGGTTTATTTGGCTCTGTACGACAAATTGGGCGAAGTCGTTGGGCGTCAAGCTGAGTTGCCACAATTTTTTCACGTGCAGTATTGTTAGAACCAATCAGAGCGCTACTGTGGTCTGGCGCAGTGAGCCAGCAATCAAGTCAGCTAGCAATCCAAGTCAGCCAGCAATCCAAGTCAGCCAGCATTCGAGTCGGTAGTGGATAGGAGGAAGGACAATGGAGGGCGCAAGCTTGACACGTCAGTCGAGCCGAGAACGGGGAAAGACTAAAACGCCCCCCCCCGGTGTCGATTAGGGGTGTCGATTACCAGGATTAGGGGTGTCGATTGGGAGCAGGCTAGGCGCTCGGACAGGAACACCAAAACTCTGGCTTTTTCTTCATTTTAATTTAATTTTATAATAAATTAATATAATTTAATACTTGTTTCGTTTTCTTATAGCGCTAATTAAGCGCTATTTAAATATAAACTTTTTCTAAAATTTGGATTAGTAATAGCTCTTTAAATTAAAGAAGTTAAAAGTTTTATATTTTATAGCCTATATATGAGCTTAAGTAAGCCTAGAAATTTAGCGAAAAAGTCCCTAAAACCAGATTTAAGAGCCCTATAAGCCCATAATTTATAAGGCCTTATAGGGCTCAAAAACTAAAACTTAATAAATTAGTATATAGACTCCCTAAAATTGAAATAGTATTTTAAGGAATCTTTTTATTATAAATTAGAGAGCACGTGATTACAATACAGGGGTTATAATATACTAGCTTAGACTTATATTGAAAAATCTAATTCAGATTTTTAAAGAGCCCAGATAGCCAATTAAATACCCCTGCCCCAATCGACACCGGGGAATGGGGGGGGGTGTGGGGGGGAGGGTTGGGGGAGTGTCGTTTTCGTTTTCCCCCCACAATGCGAACAAGACTCTGGAACATGGGCGTCTCCGCCTGGAAAGGGGGCGTTTTAGTCTTTCCCCGAGAACGCGTCCAGACGCAGAAGGCATTGGAATGGAACAAAAGGAGGTCTAGAGCGGTGTCAAGTGATAGAGAGGATACGATTGAAGTAATTGAGGCCCCCGCGGCACCGCAATCAAAACGAACGGAGATCAGCTCGCGCCCCAAGGAGCGCATCGTTGCGGCGAAGGTTAAGGCCCTCACCGCGAAGGCAGAAGAACGTCCCGCATCAGTGACATCGACCCCGAATCAGCTGGCACACGAGAAGGCGAATGCTAGTGCGAATGCGCAGATAAAAGTGCTCACCGACTTGGTCGAGTCGCTGGTGAGGACAATGGAGGAACAGAAGGAGGAGTACGCTCCAAGCGTATGTACTGTGTATGATGTTGCTACCATCTGGGATCTGGGTGGTCCAATTGAGGCTGTGCATTCAACAAGGCTATCAGCCGATTGGGAAAGGAGTCACAGGTGAATGCGAGGACTGAGAGTCAGGATTGTGCAGCGTTTTGTTAACGGGTTTTTTCTTTTCTTTTTGCTTACAAAGGGGGAAAATTGTACGATACAATAATACGCTGCTCGTCTAGGTCTGACCATCGGCGGTGCTTCCTCGTGCTCGAACGGGCCTGGCCTTGTAAGATCGTCTTCTACCTATGAAACCTTGCTCCTCTTTGGCTTTAACGGTACTTGATATATCTTAGAATATATACTAGTATTATAATTAATGCCTAATATTACAGGGTTAATTATTAAGTAAGAGTATTCTGAGGTTAATAGTAATTTGAACTCAAGATTATATATTATATCGTCTCTAATCCTGGTACGTTTGAGGAGACCTTTAAAGGGCTACTAATACTTAATAACTAGTGGCGCCTTTAATACTATAAACAGGCTCTGGGAAGAAGGCGAGATTTAGTACTAGCTCTTGTTAATAAAGGTCGATAAGTCATTAGCCTGCGGCTATATATTATTAATCTCAGGTATAGCGGTCAATAATATTATAAGGGGGCCAGGCTTTCCGATATAGAGCTCTGGGGTATGCCCTCGGGAGGTAGTTGGAGTCGTGGCAGGCACTGAGTATGGCTTTTATTGCTTTGCAGGTTATAAGTCCTTATTACTTGTATTATAGGCATTGTGATTATTATTAGTATTTGTAGAATAGTAGGTATTACTACTAATCTCTGTATATATATCTTGGTGCCCTCACTTCCGTATTATAGGCTCGGCCTCTAGTACTGGATTAGCTAGAGTAAAAGAGCCTTAAGAGGCTCGTAATATATAGTAGTACTTGTTTCTAATCAGAGTTACTAAATGTCTAAAAAGGACCTTATACTATGCTTTACTTAAGAAATAGAGAGAAAACGCTATTTGAGATATATTTTATTAGTAATCTATTTCTTAAGATTTCTAAAACGGGGTATTTAGTTACCTTTAAACTTAGTAACCTATATAGGACTAAGCAAGATTCTTAACTAATCTTTAGTAATCCAGGTACTATTATTAAAATCGAGTATATTAACCAGGTACTTGAAAACTTTTCTGCCTTTATACTAGCTAGAATATATCTCTCAAACTCCGAAAATATATATTTCTATTTATAAAGTCAAGCTTTAAAAGAATAGTTCGTATAATAGCTATAATATTAATATTTATATATTATTTTTATTAAATTAAAAACCCGACCTATTTAGATATTTGCTCTATATAACTCAATATTAGATTACTTTTATCTAGTATCTAAAAAGCTGCCGGGCTTATATATTATATAATTAAAAATAGTATTTATTAATCTTAGGAATCTTGAGTTATATAGCTAGTAGATTCTCGATAGCTTCTTTATTTTTAGAGTTATTCGTAATATTAATCTCGATTAGGTTCTACTAATAACCTATAGCTAGCTATCTAAGCTCTTTTTATTATTATATTACTATAACTTCTTTTTTTATTCTTACTCGAATCTCTAGCTACTCTTATTTAAAGTCCTAAGCTAGAATATTATATCGAGAAGTATCTTATAGCTTTTCTAGTATATTATTAATACTTTTATTATATTATTAATTCTGGATTTCGTTTTATAGTACCTTAACTAAATAGGAACTTGAGAAAATAGATATATCAGATAATAAGAACTTTATTTATTACTTTTCTAAAGCTAATTCTAGTTCTTTCTCTAGTTTAGTCTTTTCCTTATTAGTTTATTTATTATTACTATTATTAAAAGGCTTAGGAAAGAAGTAAAATATAAATTCTATTAATATATTTCGAATAATATTATTAATATCTTACTAATTAGCCCGATCTTATTATAGCTCGGAGAATTAGGCTTATATAGAAATAGAAAACATATTATATTATTTATAAGGCTCAAGTTCCGGAATTAATTATAGTCTGAATATATTTATAAATATAGTTAATATAAAAGCAAGTTCTAAAATTATAAAAATATTATATAAATTTGTATTTTATTTAAAATATCTAGTATTAATATTACTAGAAGTACTTTTAGTCTTATTCTTAATATTTGCCTTATCTAGATTATTATTAATATTAAGAATTACTAGTTAATTTATATATAATTAGTAAAATACTTCTAAATATAAAAAGCAAATAATATATTTATTTTAATTTCTATTTTAATATTTATCCGACTCGAATTATATTTAATTAACTTATAATCTAGTTCTCTAAAAAGCTAGCTATTCTAGATACTAAAAAATGAGTCTAATTTTTAAAGCCTTAGTTAAAACCTTTAGATATAGAATAGTCTAAAAAAGCTCCTTAAGAAATAGATAATTATTATCTAATTTATTATTATTATTAGTAAAAGTACTTTTATAATCTAGATTAAATAAATTAGAATAATTTTATTTTTAATATAGCTCTTTTATATACTTTTAGCTTTTACTATTATATTTCTATTTATTTTATTTTAATTTAAATAAAAAGAAATAACTATAGGTTTATATATTTTCTAGTTATTACTAGTATTAAGTAAAAGAATAGAAAAGCAAGATTTAAAAAACTAAAGAATATTATTATTATAAAATAGCTGGCTTAATAAAAGAAATATAAATTAATTAAATTATATATTTTTAAAAGCAGCTATTATAAAATAAAGTAAATAAAGAGAATTCTAGTCTAAATATATATAAAATATTTAATAAAGGAAATTAAAAGGCTTAGATAATTATTTATAATTACTTACTTATTAGAATTAGTCTGGTTTTATTTCTATACTAGCTCTATTATTTATAACTATTATATATTATTCTGAAATTAACCGGATCTGATTTTATATATAAAATTTTAGCTTTTCTAAGCTTTTATTAGAACTTATTTATTATATAAATCTCTAATATTTCTTGGCTTTATTAAAAATCGAGAAATTAGCCTATAATTAGTCTAATTCTATTCGAAATCTAATTTATTATATTTATTTTATAGAACTAGTAGCTATTTTTATATAATTAAGTTTAAATAATTTTTTTTATATAATTAAAACCTATAATATAAGTTCTATTATATTTATTCTAGAAGTATTTATAATCTTATTATAATAATATACTAAGCTAAAAAATCCTCGAAATAGCCTTTATTTATTAAATTTATTTTTCTAATATATAATAATTATAGATTAAGCTTCTTTTAAAATTATATAACCTATTTTTATATAACTATTTATATTAGTCTATTAGTTTATAACCTATTTTTCTAATACTAGTATTTTCGTATTTAATTTATAGAATATTTAATAGAAGATTTAATACTATTATTATTATATAGATTATTATTTACTATAATTATAACTAAAAGAAATTAATATTTCTTATTATAGATTAGCCTAAATTAAAGCATATAATATATATTATTATTTCTATTAGCTTAAAAGAGTTTACTAAGTTTCTTTCTATTATAAATTAGTCTAAAATAAAGTATATAATATATATTATTATTTGCTATAGCTATAATTAATAATAATTAGTTCTATTTATTCTAAATTAGCCTAAATTAAAAAATAAAATATATATTATTATTATTATTATTAATTAAAGAAGCTTATTAAGATTTCTTTTTCTTATATATAATACTATAATATAGCTAGTTAATAACTAGCTATATTATTATAAGATATTTCTTTTATTAGCCAGGCTATATTATATAAGAAAATATTAAAAACAAGTTTCTATTATTATAATTACTAAAAGAGATATTATTACAAGAAATATAATAATATAATAATAAGAAGAAAATAGTAAGCTAAGCTTATATTTATATTTTAGATAATATAATATTATTAAGAAAAATAATAATTATTATAATAATTATAAGTATTAAATCCAGAATAGTAAATTAAAAAGAATTAAAAATTCTGGCTTTAAACCGGCTATATTATTAAGGCTTTTTAGCTATAATAAGGCATTTTAATTAGGTTTTAATAAAGAGGAATTAATAATATATAGCGAGGCTAAATAATTAAATAAGAAATATTAGAAATAAATTAAAGAGAAAAATAATTAAATAATAGAAAATATAAACTTTTATAAATATTAAAAGTAATAGCTAGCTTATATATATATATTATCTAATATAGAAATTACTAAATCCGGAAAAGCAAACTATAATATTAAAATTATATATTATAATAAAATTTTTAAAATATATTTAAAAATATATTAAAAAATATTAAATTTAATAAAAAATAAAAGTATATAATTATATATATAATAAATTTATTTTATAAATAAAATAAAAGTAATTATTTATTTTTTCAAATATATAGAAATTTAAATATTTTAAAAGAAAACGTTTAATTAAATTTATATAATATAAATTTAAGATTTTCTTAATAATAAAATAAAGCTAAATTTATTTCTTTTTAAAATATTTATTATAATTCAAATTTTAATATTTTAATTAATATATATATATAATATAAAAAGAAATTTAAAATATTAAGATTTTTATAATCTTTTATATTTTAGCTTTTCTTTTAGTTCTAAATATTAATATTTATTAAATTTAAATTTTATTAAATATATATAGAATTAAATAAAGAATTAAATAAAGAATTAAATAAAGAATTAAATAAAGAATTAAATAAAGAATTAAATAAAGAATTAAATAAAGAATTAATTAAATATAATATTAAATAAATATATTTAAAATTTATATATTAGCTAATAAATATATTATAAAATTATAAAAAAAGCTTATAATAATTATATAAAATTATAAAATAATTTTTTTTAATTAAATTAAATAATAATAAAAACTTAATTATATATATATATTATAAACAAGGCCTTTATATAAAGAAAACTAGTAAATAAATTAACTAAATAGAATTCTCTAAAAAGAAAAGAAAGAGAAAAACCAAAAGAAATAAAACTATATTTCCTGAAATATTCGAATTCCCTAAATATTAGTTTACTAGGAATATATAGTACTATTATATAGTCGTGAAATGCTATTTATATAGGTTAGTAAAGTTATTCTTTAGAAATAGGAATTGCAGTATTATAGTATTAATATGTAATCCCTAAATCTGCTAAGCCTAAAGGGGTCTAGTCTACTAGTCGAGTTACTAATAAGATGCGAGATTACATAACTATATCCCGTATTTTATATCTCATTACCTATATCTTATTACCTATATCCCATTACCTATATCCCGTATCTCATATTCCGTGACTATATACGTGACTCCCAAAGGAATAGTTATACTAATACTAGAAACTCTCTAAAAAAACGCGAAAAACAGAAAATAGTATTCTTCTCTAATTATATACAAGTTCCCTAATCCGGCCTAGTACCAGATTCCCCAAATACTTTATATATCCATATTATTTTTAAGGTTTTAGTTATATACTAAAGGCTATAGCCTTTTATATATAACCTCTCCTCTTATAAGTCTAT